TATATGTTTTCCTCTCCAGTTATTCTAAGAACAATATGCTTGGATTAACTTACTTATTTTTCTTCCCTGTACTCAGTTGTGAAGTATTTTGGGATTTAAGTTTGGGGCTTCTCTGCCATCTTGTTCCTCTTTTCCCCAAGTATGATGATTCTTGGTAAGATGTTCATCTTTAAATCAGGGAATCCCTGTTTGCCTAAGGGAATGTGGGTAACCATGAAGGTTTCCTACCTTTCCATCTGTGGAGATGGAGAGTGGATGCACGGAAAGCTTATTTCCTATGTATACGTTCCTTTCCCACCTGGTGGGAATGCTGATTCATCTGGGGCTTGGTCCTGTCTTATGATCCCAGAACCCCTTCTGAATGTCCCCAGTATGAATTCCATTTCAAAGTCCAAATGACCAAAAAATGAGAGTCCTCTTTTTTTTTTTTTTCCCATTCCATCCTGTCCTTGTAACTGTCAAGGTTACTCTAGATCTTGCCCTGCTCTTTTCCGCAAATAGTATCTCTTAAAAAGTAAATCTGGGGATCTGTGTTCTGGGGATAACGGCCCCTGCTGCCTGTTCCATGTGGACCACGGGGAAAGAACAGTGGTCACTTTGTTTCAGGCACGGTTAACCAGTTAATGAGTATAGCTGTGGCTTTGGAGCCCACTTTGCCCCTTGAATTTGTCCACTCTGAGTTTCCATTTCTTGGACATTGGTTTTAACTTTGTCGTTGTTAGCTCTTGTGTGCTCTAGGCTGTGGGTTTTCTTAGCTCTTATTTCTCTGTCAAACAATCACCTGCTTTCTCCTTTAGGGGCATATCAAAAACTTTGGTCTGATAGTGGCACTTTTTCCATTTTTTACTATATATATTTCATTTCTTGCTAAATATATATATTTCATTTCATTTCTTACTATATTTATACTTTATATATTCATATATCTTACTAAATATATATTTCATATATTCATATATCTTATTAAATACATATTTCTTTTCATTTCTTACTACATATATTTCATTTCTCACTAAATATATACATATACTTAGGTAATATGTATGTAAAAATTTTTTTTCCTAAATATTTATTTATTTGTTTAGTTTTAAAGATTTTATTTATTTATTGGTCAGAGAGAGAGAGAGAGAGCACAAGCAGGGGGAACTGCAGGCAGAGGGAAAAGGAGAAACAGGTTCCCCACTGAGCAGAAAGCCAGACGTGGAGATTTATTCCAGGACCCTGGGATCATGACCTGACCCAAAGGCAGATGCTTAACTGACTGAGCCATCCAGATAACCCTAGAATTATTTTAACAGTCACATGGTAACTTGCACTAAACAGAATCATAAAACTAATTCCTCACAGCTTAGGATTTGATAAACAGAAGATGGTAGAATGAGCCAATATTATTATTGTGATGCCCAAAGACACATGCCGTCACATAATATTCTATAAATATTGACTTCAAATTGTGTATGTGATTTATTTTTAAAAATTTGACATATATCTTCTTGTTTTTCATGGCCTTCTATTACTGATTTCGTGCTAGGATCAAATATTGAAGATTTTATACAGTCGGTGAAGCATCAAAACATACTTCTGGAAGTAGATGATTTTGCAAACAGAAACGGCACTGATGACCTGTCATACAATGGAGCTATCGTAGTTTCTGGCAAACAAAAGGTATGTTTGCGTCTTGGTTTTGCTTTCATTTTTAACTGTTTTTAACTAGCAGTCAACCCAGCTAGTATATAGCAATTTGATTTAGAATATTTGGGGTCATTATTGAATAAGCTGTGACGTTTAAATAAGCTTTTATAAAACATTTTCAATCTTAACTTTGAGATGAAATGATTTTTACATTTGAAAGGAGCTAAGTGTAATTGCATTATTCAGATTCAATAAAATATTAGACCTTATAAGTACCAACCATGAATTTAAAGAATTTTCTTCAATGGCTAACTACTCAAAAGACATTTTGGTATAGAGTTGACCTTTAAACAACACAGGGGTTGGGGTGCTGGACCCCTGCACAGTTGAAAATCCACATATAGCTTTTAACTCCCTAAAAACTTACCTGCTAAGAGCCTACTGTTGACTGAAAGCCTTACCAATAACATAAGCAATTGATTAACACATACTTTGTGTGTTATACATATTGTATACTGTATTCTTGCAATAAGGTAAGCTAGAGAAAAAACAATGTTATTAAAAACATTAGGTAGAGAAACGCATTTACACTACTGTATTGTGTTTATCAGAAAAGAGTCACATATAAGTGAACAGTGTAGCTTCAAACCGTGTTGTTCAAGGGTCAACTGTATGGAGAATATACATTAAGTACTATAAAAGTCACAAGAAATCTCTGAGAGAAAAGTGTCCTCAATCTCCTGTTAACATGTTTCAATTTGAGTAAAAGAGTCCAAGGGCTAAAGATTATTCCAGGTACAAGGCTGTTGAAAAATACATTTTAATTGTAAGTAAAATTCTGAGTCTTACTTAAAAGCTTGTGAAAAGCAGGAAGCCACGTTAAAGGAAGCTACCTCATTATTTCTTGCTATAAGGAAAATAGAAACCAAAACAAAAGTCTTAAAAGATACAGCACCAAATTCAGTTCCATTTAAACTAAGGACACCATAAAAACCACAGTCTTACTCTGTTGTATGTCAGAAACTAACGTAGCATTGTTTAAAAAAAAAGTAATCCCTTTGTGCCAACTGTAGGAAACCGCATTGCTTGGCAATTGCCTTGTTTTTTATCTAATGTATTTATTACATGAACCCATAGAATATATAAACACTACTGAGCCTCTTGATACATGCATAAACATTTTCATAAACATGAAGAGTGTAAATATTGTCTTAGCATAAAAATGGATCACTGGCAGTGTAACCATGAATATTTTATGCACGCTCTGCTTATCTCCTATCAAGAAAATCAGAGTTCCTTTGCTTACTCACTGTAAGCTGACTGTGTCTCCTTATCAGGGCTACATTTTTATTCCGTTATTTGGAATTTCCTCAACAGCAAGAGGACAAAATGATCTAAAATTAGTAATACTAAGAAAAATCCATATTGCTGGCTATCCAGGCAATTAATTATCTCCTTTCACAGATAAGGAAGCAGAAGCTCAGAAAGGTCACGAACTTAAGGATGGCCACACAGAGTGGGACACTACTGGGATTTTAATATAAAAACTTTTTCTTTGTTCTTTAATGACAGAATTAACCTCATTTTATTTGTCTTTATTTTATTCAAAGGATTACAGATTTTCAGTTGCTTGCAATACTTTGAGACTGCACTGTTTTCCTATTCTTGTGAATATTATTAGCAATGGGTTACTTCGAATGTTTAATTGCACACAAAATATTCGAATTGAGAGAAGCCCATATCCTTTTGTAAGTATTGGATTTCTCACTCTGAACAATTAAGAATATGGCAAGCACCCTGTGTTTTCCCTCTTTAGCTTTTAAATATTCATCATTGGTCGCTAATCCTAAAAATTTTTTGTCCTGATATTTTAAACATTATATCTAACAGAATATGGTTCTTTTCCCCCTTGGTATTATCAAGTGCTCATGGGAGAATACTTTTCAATATTATGTCATCGTCTTCTAGAGCAGCTTCTGGAAAGATACACTCTTGATGGTGGATGTGTATTGGACAGCGTGTGAGTGAGCTTGTGGGGGGGCGTGTAAACTGAATTGGAAATCAAGAATACTTGTAAAACAGCTTTAGACTTGTAAATCTAATCTAATTTGTTGGTGGACCATTCATTGACTAAATGGGTAGTAGACTGATACGAAGGAGAATTTGCCAGTCCTTGGCTATATGCCTTCTGATTATCTCCTTCACCTGCCTGTAGTTGTGTGCATTGTGGGGGTGTCTGACGCACACAGGCTGCATCTTCGGGGTTTTGTCAGCTGGCTACAGCCTGGGTTTAGATGACAGGAAGCAGTAGTGGGAGCCAGGAGAGCAGGAGCACTCTGCAGCCTGGGCTCCAGTCACCGTGCTTCCTCCCTTTGCCCCCCACCCCCACCCCAGCCCAGTCTCCTTGCTTCATCTTCATTGGCTTCTCCCATCTTTCCACAACCTGACATGAGTATTTTCTCTCTATTTGAAGGCCTGAAGGTAGTAGTGGTTTTCTGGTTAGACCCTGATACTCAAGAGGGATCTCTTAAAGGTGACTCAAATGGTTTCAAACCAGAAGATTGGAAGAACAATACATAGGATTAGAAATGGAGCCATCGGAAAAGGAAACCCATTTTGTGACAAAGGGGTTGAATTCAGTTTTGGCTTCATTGCATTCATGGTGCTGGGGGTACATGCATGAGCAGATGGACAGTAATACGTGAACGGCCAGCGATGGACACAGGCACCTATGAGTTGAAGCCACCACTGACCATGCGAGCTGGGACAGTGCTAGGGTCGGGGTAGAGGGGGAGCTCTGAAGGGAACTCTCCAGAAAGTAGAACCAACCAGCAGTAGAAAGGCATAGATGGTATCTACTCTTGGTCTTTTAGTGTCCTCATATCATTACTTGTTTATTGAGGATCAAATCGTAGACATCCCCAGAGGCACACACCCTTCTTCTCTCAGCCATTTTTATGAAGACAGTAATGAATTTTCGTCCCTGATGAAACATTCGAATTTATCCTTGGAGCCTCTAAAGTCTTAAGTAAAGCTTGAGAGCTATAGAATTATTTTGAGACAGGCTATGGCACTGCTGAACTGTGATTAGGTACAAGCAGTCCTATACCAAAGCAGGGGCCCAACCTCAGGCAGACGCTGAGTTGGGGATGGTGATTCAAAGTTGGTCTCCTTGCCCACAGGCTGAGGGGCATCAGGTTTTCTTTTTAGCTTTGGATTCCTTCCAAGCACATTCGACCAGCTGCTGATGGCTTCACATATCCATCGCTATGTCAGCTGAGAAAGACCTGCTGTTACTAGGCCTGAATGATCTGTTTCTCCAGGATCATAAGTCCCAAATTATTACTTTTTGCATTGTGACAGAAACACATGACATAAAATTCACCATCTTGACCATTTTTAAGTGTGCAGTTAGTAGTGTCAGACATGTTCAATTATTGTGAAACAGATCTCTAAAATTTTCTTATCTTGTAAAACTAAAACCTTGTACCAGTTATACAAGAATGTCCCATTGTCCCCTTTGCCCAGCCCCTGGCAATCATCATCCTACTTTCTGTTTCTATTAATTTAACTACTTTGGATACCTCATATAAGGGCAATCATATTGTATTTGGTTTTTGAATAATGTCCTTGAAATTCATCCGTGCTGTAACACTTGACAAGATTTCCTTCCTTTTAAAGGCTGAATAATATTCCACTGTATGTATATACCATGTTTTGTTTATCCCTTTATCTGTTGGTGGACACTTGGATTGTTTCCACCTCTTGTCTATTATAAATAGTGCTGCTAGGAACATGGGTGGGAAGATATCTTTGGAACTCTGATTTCAGTTCTCTTCAGTGTACACCCTGAAGTGGGTCCTGAGTTACAGTTTACTCTTTCTTTTTTTTTTTTGCTAGGAGTTAAAGCCTCATGTTAAATGATCAGAAATCATTTCCCCTCCCAAATTCATGCATAGATGTTACTGAATTAAGGCATGCATTTTTATTTTATTTTTCAGTATTTCAAAAAGTACATTTTATGATAATTAGTATTTGTTTCATTTTTTAATTTTAATTTTTATTAGTTTCAGAGGTAGAATTTAATGATTTGTCACTTGTATATGACACCCAGTGCTCATTACATTCAGCACCGCCTTAATGTCCATCACCCAGTTACCCGTCTCCCCACTTACCTTCCCTCCAGCAACCTTCAGTTTGTTTCCTTTAGTTAAGAGTCTCTTACAATTTGACTCCCTCTCTGTTTTTCTCTTATTTATTTTTCCTCCACCTTTCCTATGCTTGTCTATTTTGTTTCTTAAATTCTGCATATGAGTAAAATCATATGGTATTTGTCTTTCTCTGACTAGCTTATTTCGCTTAATGTAATACCCTCTCGTTTCATCCACGTCATTGCACATGGCAAGATTTCATTCTTTTTGATGGCTGTGTAATATTCCATTGTATATGTGTGCACGTGTGTATATGTATGCACATATGTATACATATATATACATATGTATACATATATATATACACACACACACATACACATACATATATATCTACCACATCCTGTTTATCCATTCATCTATTGATGGACATCTGGGCTCTTTCCATAGTTTGGCTGTTGTAGACATGGCTGTCGTAAACACTGTGGTGCATGTACCTTTTCAAATCACTATGTGTGTATCCTTTGGATAAATACCTAGTAGTGCAATTGCTGGGTCACAGGACAGCTCTATTTTTAACTTTTTGAGGAACTTCCACACTGTTTTCCAGAGTGGCTGCACCAGCTTACATTCCCACCAAGAACGTAAGAGGGTTCCCCTTTCTCCACATCCTCTCCAACATCTGTTGTTGCCTCAGTTGTTAATTTTAGCCACACTGACTGGTATGAGGTGGTATCTCACTGTGGTTTTGATTTGTATTTCCCTGATGCCGAGTGATGTGGGGCATTTTTTCACATATCTGTTATAAGAAGAATTAATACCTATTCTTCTGAGACGGTTTCAAAAAAATAGAAATGGAAGGAAGGAAGGAAGGAAGGCAGGCAGGCAGACTCCTTCTAGGAGACCAGCATTACCTTGATCCACAAAAACCAGACAAAAACCCCACCAAAAAGGAGAATTACAGGTCAATATTCCTGATGAACATGGATGCAAAAATTCTCACCAATATAGCTAAGAGTGCATTAGAGGGATTATTCCCCAGGGGTCCCATGGGATTTATTCCTGGGCTACCAGGGTTGCTTGACATCCTCCAATCAGTCAATGTGATAGAGCACATTACTATTTGTTTCATTTTTTAGAATAGTCACAAGTTTAAAATACCTTTTATATTTGCAGAACTTTATGATCTACTGGACTGGACTGCCAGAAGGTTCTATGTTTTTGTTTTGGGTTGTGTGCAGCATTTCACCTTACATCTCCATGAGCAGTATCAGCGATTACAAAGTAAGAGAAGGGGAAAAAAATGAGAAACTTCAGGGACTCCAGTAATTGTGATTTAAATGCTATGTGTTCAAAATGTTTTCCTGTAAGAACAACATATAAGCATATGTCTGATTTAGATAATGTAGTTAAGCATTATTTCTGTCATGTCAGAAACTTTACTTCTAAGAACACAAAATATTTTTTACTTCGAAATTGCAGAAAACTTGCAGTAATTTTACAGGGACTCAAATTAATCTGTACTTGTAAAGGGGACTATTACACAACTTTTGATGACATTATTTCCCAGTGAAAAGGAAGAAATCATTGATAATTAAATTGAGGACAAGATGTAAGACTAAAATACCCTTTCTACTGTGGCAAATAACCTTTTTGGTTATATTTGCATTTGGTCATGTCTATAATCCAAAGCAAAACCGTTAAATCAGATTTAGAGAGGTCATCCTTCACTATTCTGAGCCAGCAACCCTCATAACATATTTGGATAATGGATAATTTATTGTCCTTCAGGTCGCAAAATAATATCTCTTTTGAAGGAAGTTTATGCTTTGATTATTATGAGATCTGCTTTTCTACTCATTATGCATGAGTTAAAGTGGTGCTGGGAATCAAACTTATAAAATAAAACAATATTCATTTTCACAGTGACCATCCTTATGGAATTGCTGTTTAGACCTCGAATTCCAAATAGTATATATATCATTAAATTGTTAGAAGATTTAAACTGATTTGGTTATATTTATCTTAAAATCTCTCTCAGTGTGTTTGTTTTGAATTTGGATTTCAACTGAATCTGTGTATATCCTGTGTTTTTCTCATCAGAAGAGAGCTAAGTCCCAGCTGTGGATTTCAGGCCTCTACCCTTCTGCCTACTGGTGTGGGCAGGCACTAGTGGATATCAGCTTCTTCGTTTTCCTTCTCCTTTTGATGTATTTAATTTTTTACATAGCCAACATAACAGAGATTTATATCACAAGTCGAATTGTGTTCAGTCTGGTAAGAAACACATTATATAGACAATCTCTTATAAAGTAATTCCATGATAAATTATAACATTTGATATTTTCTATAAGTAAGACATTTTCATTTTTATTTTGTCATAAACTAAAACAAAAAAATTTCAAAGTGCATGCGCAATAACTTTTTTAAAGATTTTTATTTATTTTTTTGAGAGAGAGAGAGAGCACAAATAGAGGGAAGGGGCAGAGGGAGAGGGAGAAGCAGGCTCCCTGCTGATCAGGAAGCCCAATGCAAGACTCCATCCCAGGGTCGCAAGATCAGGACCTGAGCCAAAGTCAGACACTTAACCAAGAGAGCCAGCTAGGTACCCCTGAAAGAAGATATTTAAAAATATGTGTAATTTAATGTTTCCTTCTGTTACTACTTCAGTGTTTGACTTTGATATTATTTATATTATTTTCAGGTTGTATTTGGGCTCGGTTATGCAACATCACTTGTCTTCTTGACATATGTGATATCATTTATTTCTCGCAAGTGGAAAAAAAATAGTGGCCTTTGGTCATTTTGCTTCTATATCGTAAGTACATATACAAACATATAAACAGAGAGATAGAGTAACTTTCAGGGGAACAGAAAAATAATCATCTTTTCCTTGAGAAATATTACAGTATAATACACATTTACAATTTCTAATTATTTTCCCTTTTTCTTTTACATGTATATCTATTTCACTGTCCTTGTCTATTGTACTTTTATACCACTGAAAAGCTACATGCTTATGGAATATTTGATGTCAGATTTGAAAAAAAAATATGCAACATCATCTGGTATAATTCCCCTCATTTTATAGAGGGAAAAAAGTTGAGTACTTGTTTAAGGCCACATAAAAATCAGGGACAACTCAAGAATAAAATTGAAGTCTCAGACCTTATGTTCATTCCTGATGTCAAAAAATATGAGGTAGTAGGATGGTTAACAATCCATTTTAAAGTTTATGTTGATCAACATCTTGATTTGAGGGGGCTGAATCATACATCTTCACGGAGACCTCAACCAGTGTGCGATAATTTTATGCCTGATACAAAGAACTTAAAATTTCATTTAAAATAGATTTTGAGGATGCGTAATGTGGTAATTGATCTTTCATTATGCAGTTTGTATAAATTTAAACTATGCTAGTCTTAGGACTCACAGAGCCTATATGAAAATGTAATAGATGATGGTAAGTGCAATTGTTCTTTTGTGATCTTGGATATATTTGGAAGGAAAGTATAGGCAAGGTCCCCTCATTATTGAGTGAAGCCACACTCAGCTGTTAATTTGTTTGGACTGTTAATTTGTTGGACTCTCCTGGCCCGCAGGATGTGGTCCCTCATGGGTATCTTAGGCCCCTGTCTGGTAAAGAAGTGCCTTTCAGCCCATGGTGAAGGGATAATACTGCATCTTCTTAGTAACTGTGAGCGATACTATATTTCCTTTGATGTAGTTTGCAGTTCTCTCTTGTTCTAGTGAATGAGAAAAGAGGAAAAAACAACTCGCAAAAGAAGAAACTTGGAAGCTTAGTAGAATAAGAGCTGTTAGCTAAGTCAACCAATAGAATTGTAGTTATCAAAAATAAGGAACTGGGAGAAAAAACTAGATACATGTGATGTCATGGAAACCAAGAGGAGAGAAATAATGTCAACGTAAATAATCACGTGACACCTTTGCAGAGAGATCGTGGTGGTTGCAAAATTAGAAAGGTTTTTTGGATTTGCCATCTAAAATGCTTATTGTGCTCTGACTGAACACTTGATTGTAAGTTACTGGATTTTATTCACAATTGCTTTTTATTTGTAGATTACATTCCCCCGAAACTGTAAGTTTATTTGTAGATTACATTCCCCCCAAACTGTAAGTTCACTTAGTAGTCACTCAACATTCCCCTACATAACAGTCCCACAAAACAGTATAGTCTTCTGACCTAAAGACTTAGGAATTAGACCCACATAGGGTTTTGAATTTCTGCTTTGTCACTCACTAACTGTGTGGTGTGAGGATGTTATTTCTTTCTCTGAACCTTGAATTTCCCATATATAAGAAGGGGATAGTAAGAATGACCACATTATGGAGTTGTTGTGAGGATTAAAGCAAACAGTGCATGCTAAATTCTTTTTATTTTTTAAGATTTTATTTATTTATTTGACAGAGAGAGACACAATGAGAGAGAGGGAACACAAGCAGGGGGAGTGGGAGATGGAGAAGCAGGCTTCCCGCTGAGCAGGGAGTCCAATGCGGGGCTCGATCCCAGGACCCTGGGATCATGACCTGAGCTGAAGGCAGACGCTTAATGACTGAGCCACCCAGGCACCCCAACATGCTAGATTCTTAATGCCTGGTGTTTGTTTAATATTCAGCAAATTTAGTAGTTACAATTCTTCGTGTTTTTATTGTAATTCATACAGAATAAGATCCAGCAAAAGTTCAGTACAGTGCTCAACACACACTTGTTGACTGATAAACTGATCCTTAAAACAGAACAACGAAAAATTATCTTTATCCCCCGTCCACATTTACCAGTATTTTAAGAGAAAACAGGTCCATTGCAATCAAAATGCACACTCTCATTAAAATTATTTGTTTGGAATGGGGAAGACATGGACCAGAGAGGACAATTTTTTTTTATTATTTATTTTCAGCATAACAGTATTCATTGTTTTTGTACCACACCCAGTGCTCCATGCAGTCCATGCCCTCTCTAATACCCACCACCTGGTTCCCCCAACCTCCCACCCCCTCACCTCTTCAAACCCTTCAGATTGTTTTTCAGAGTCCATAGTCTCTCATTGTTCACCTCCCCTTCCAATTTCCCCCAACTCCCTTCTCCTAACTCCCCATGTCCTCCATGCAATTTGTTATGATCCACAAATAAGTGAAACCATATGATAATTGACTCTCTCTGCTTGACTTATTTCACTCAGCATAATCTCTTCCAGTCCCATCCATGTTGCTACAAAAGTTGGGTATTCATCCTTTCTGATGGAGGCATAATACTCCATAGTGTATATGGACCACATCTTCCTTATCCATTCGTCCGTTGAAGGGCATCTTGGTTCTTTCCACAGTTTGGTAACCGTGGCCATTGCTGCTATAAACATTGGGGTACAGATGGCCCTTCTTTTCACTCCATCTGTATCTTTGGGGTAAATACCCAGTAGTGCAATTGCAGGGTCATAGGGAAGTTCTATTTTTAATTTCTTGAGGAATCTCCACACTGTTCTCCAAAGAGGCTGCACCAACTTGCATTCCCACCAACAGTGCAAGAGGGTTCCCCTTTCTCCACATCCCCTCCAACACACGTTGTTTCCTGTCTTGCTAATTTTGGCCATTCTAACATTTTTTCATGTGTCTGATAGCCATTTGTATGTCTTCATTGGAGAAGTGTCTGTTCATATCTTCTGCCCATTTTTTGATATGATTATCTGTTTTGTGTGTGTTGAGTTTGAGGGGTTCTTTATAGATCCTGGATATCAATCTTTTGTCTGTACTGTCATTTGCAAATATCTTCTCCCATTCCGTGGGTTGCCTCTGTTTTCTTGACTGTTTCCTTTGCTGTGCAGAAGCTTTTGATTTTGATGAAGTCCCCAAAGTTTATTTTGGCTTTTGTTTCCTTTGCCTTTGGAGACATATCTTGAAAGAAGTTGCTGTGGCTGATATCGAAGAGATTACTGCCTATGTTCTCCTCTAGGATTCTGATGTATTCCTGTCTCACGTTGAGGTCTTTTATCCATTTTGAGTTTATCTTTGTGTACGGTGTAAGAGAATGGTTGAGTTTCATTCTTCTACATATAGCTACCCAGTTTTCCCAGCACCATTTATTGAAGAGACAGTCTTTTTTCCACTGTATATTTTTTCCTGTTTTGTCGAAGATAAACTGACCATAGAGTTGAGGGTCCATATCTGGGCTCTCTACTCTGTTCCACTGGTCTATATGTCTGTTCTTATGCCAGTACCATGCTGTCTTGGTGATCACACTAACAATGAAAATACAGAAAGGGAAATTAGAGAATCGATTCCATTTACTATAACACCAAGAACCGTAAGATACCTGGGAATAAACCTAACCAAAGAAGTAAAGGATCTGTATTCGAGGAACTACAGAACACTCATGAAAGAAATTGAAGAAGACACAAAAAGATGGAAGACCATTCCATGCTCTTGGATCGGAAGAATAAACATTGTTAAAATGTCTATACTGCCTAGAGCAATCTATACTTTTAATGCCATTCCAATCAAAATTCCACCGGTATTCTTCAAAGAGCTGGAGAAAATAATCCAATAATTTGTATGGAACCAGAAGAGACCCCGAATCGCTAAGGAAATGTTGAAAAACAAAAATAAAACTGGGAGCATCACGTTACCTGATTTCAAGCTTTATTACAAAGCTGTTCATCATCACTAGCCATCAGGGAGATTCAAATTAAAACTACATTGAGATATCACCTTACACCAGTTAGAATGGCCAAAATTAGCAAGACAGGAAACAACATGTGTTGGAGGGGATGTGGAGAAAGGGGAACCCTCTTGCACTGTTGGTGGGAATGCAAGTTGGTGCAGCCTCTTTGGAGAACAGTGTGGAGATTCCTCAAGAAATTAAAAATAGAACTTCCCTATGACCCTGCAATTGCATTACTTTGGTATTTACCCCAAAGATACAGAGAGGATATTTAGAAAGCTTTAGTCTAGTTGGGAGGTAGCATGGACTTTTTAATACAACTACCTGTTTAGCTTTCCATCCAATATGGTTTTTATACATTCACAATATTGTTACCTTAGGAATAGAAAGTTAATTTCTCTTTTATCTTATTGTCTTAGATGACTCTTAATGCACTGTCAGAAAGCCTACCTGGTTACTTTAGCGTTCACCTTAATCTCCAGATTTTTATAGTTTACCTGGTTACTTTAGCATTCACCTTCATCTCTGGATTTTTATTGAAAATTTTTCTGTTGGGTAGCTGAAAGTTGCATTTATTCTCATTAACAAAAACCCCTCTCTCCCTTTCTCCCTCTGAAAGGGGTGAATCTGTATGCAGGAAAATTCTGATGTATATGATGAGAACACTTACATCTTAAATATTTTCCCTAATATGAATGGACTGCATATGTCTGACTTGCAATGTATTTTAACTTGCCTTGTAGACCTCAATCATTATGTTTGACATTATGCTGCTTCATTTCAACTTGCCTACCTTGATTTCTAGCATGGTATTTGTTCCCTCAACTACCATGGGTGGATTTCTAGCCTTTCTGGCACAGGTAAGAAATACTACCAACAGTGTCATTAACTTTGAACATGCAGCCTTTTAAAGTGCTTCACCCCAAATCTATGAAGACAGAATGCAGGCTAGTGGTTTCCTGGGGTTGGAGTGGGAATGGGGATTGGCCAGAAATGCTTGTGAGGTATCTCTTTGGGGTGATGGAAATGTTATTAAGTTGAATTGTGGTGGTGCTCTCCCAACTCTATAAATTTACTAAAAATCCTGGAATTGTATACTTAAAATGAATGAATTCGATAGCATAAAAAATTAACCTCAATAAAGCTGTTTAAAAAGCTTTGCCATATGCTCTATTGCAAAACACGAGCATTGTCAAATGCTATTCAAAACTAATGGCAGATTGAAAAAATGTTGGCTCGTTTAATGGGTATTCATTATCCACTGCAAGGATAAAATCTTATACAATACCATTTATTTATTCAAAAATATATATTAAACAGGATTCTATATTAGGCACTGTGCTGGTCATTGGGGACACCTAATGAACAAGACAGCACGTCCCTCCTTTCAGAGAGCTTGGTGGAGATGAAGACAGACCTCAAACAAGTCAATGCAAAGGGCTTAAAGGATCCAAAGAAGAAGGGTAAAGTGGCAAGCACAGGATACATAGCACAGCTGACACAATCTAGAGAGTCAGAGAATTCTTCTGGGGAAGCAATGCTTAAACAGAATCCTGAAGAATGAGTTAGAATTAATTAGCAAGAGAGTAGGGCAGAAGGTAAGCATGTTCTGTGGAGAGAAGCAAAGGCATTGAAGGAGGAGATACCAGGAGGCATTAAAGTAGCCTTGATTTAACTGGAAATAAGTGTACAATGGGATGACCCCAAGAACTCAGTCAGGAACATTCCCTTTAGAGACCTGCACCATTCTGGATGAAACTTCAGTGAAAGTAGAGAAAGCTGCCCTCATCACTTGTGTTCTTGGGATCCTGGGAAAGACTTCTGTCTACAAAAGCACTTTTCATAACATAATAAAAAAAAAAGAGAGAGAGAGAGAGAGAGAAAGAATAAAACTTCTGAATTTCCAATAATAAAAAAGCACTTTTCCATTAATTGAGCAACACTTAGAATTCTCAACTAGAAATTCATTCCTTTGCTTAAAGCATTTCCTTCCTAAGATGTAAGCAGACCTATGAAGTGAGCTACATTAACCTAGATCTGTCATACATTGTTTAGGAGGAATGAGTTACTTTCTGAAGGCATTGATTGATGAAGAAAGAATGACATTATGGGACTAATTATTTTCATGGGCAAGTCACCACAGGGGTAGGAAGGGGCCCAGAAAACGCTCTTGAGGGACGTTTAGGACAAATACAGTCATCCCCTGTTACTTTTCACAATGCAGGCTCCTCTCTCTGTTATGCTTTCAGTGGACTTGAGGCAAACCCTAAACCTAAACATTAAAGAAAAAAATCGGAAAAGAGGAACAGACATATGTTACCTGTTCACCGAGAGATAGTGTTGAGTGGGGGTCCACTTTCTTTTCTGCAGGGAATTGCTTGTCACCAGTGCACACAGGGGAATCATGCTTAATGAAGGAAAAATGCAATATGTCGAATTCCATATTATTGAAATGCAAATCATGAAGTGATGAACTTGCGTTTAGGTGTTTTTCCTTTTGTCTTTGCAGAGAGCTTACGAGCACCAACCAAAATACCCAGACCACAAATATGACCCGAGTGGAGTTGATCTTCTAGTATGCCTAATAGTAAGGCGGACAATTTTTTTTTTTTTTTTTTGGAGTGGGTTAGTTAGCATTTGGTATCATAACCATTTGGTTTGTCTAATGTGTGCCAACTTTAAATATGTTTTTAATATAGTCTCAGAATAAGACTCAGAATAAGACCATTCAGACATGATTCCAAATCATGAGTTATTTTTATGTGCCTGTGTGGACTGTGTAGGTCCAGAATGTAATATCAGATTAATTTTTCACATTTATTTATTGCCATCTCCAAATTTGAGAGACCTTGTAAGAAATACAAGTGCAATGTAACTGAAATTCTTTGAATTAGAGATAAAAAGGGCAAAGTTGTATAATAAAAATGAAAGGGGAAAATGATTATATTGGTGTATTTAAGCTGACACTGACAATGTGTCACTACTTTTCTAGGCATAGGAGCAAATATGGACAAAAGTGCCTGCTCTCATTTATATTGTGGTGGAAGGAGACAGATAATATATATGGTGTCAGATGGTCAGTCAGGAAAAGCCTGATTGAGAAGCAAAGATATGTGGGGGACAAGGAGGCAATCTACAGGGATAGCTTGGGAAAGAACATTCTAGTAGGAAGGCATAGGTGATGCTGGCTTGTTCCAGGGTCAGCCAGGAGGCCAGGGTGATTGTGGCCAAATGCCCAAGGGGAGAGCAGCACAAGAGAAGGTCATGGAAGTCACAGGAGGAAGTACAGGGTGGATGGAAGGGGCTGTACAGAGCAGTCTAGGTCACTATAAAGACTTTTTATATTTTCTTTGAGTAACCGAGGAATCACTGGAGTGTTTTAAGCAAAGCAATATGATCAGACTTACTTTTTTAAAAGAGTACTTCTAGTGACTGGGTTGAGAACAGATGTTTGGGGCACAGGGAGAAGAGAAAGGAGGCTAGGTAACAAGGGAATGGGAAATCATGATGGCCTGGACCTGGGCGGGAGCGGCACAGGCAGGGGCGAGAAGTTGGGTTCTGGGTAATTTTGAAGGTAGAGCAGATAGAATTGGTTGACAGACAGGATGTGGATTGTGAGACAAAAAGAGGCAGGTGCCACCAAGCTGCATTTTCCCTCTGATTTGTAAAAATGGTTCTCATATGTATTTTACCTGAAGACAAAGGCCACCAATTTAATTCAGATGTTTAAGTAATATTTGTGAACTTGTGCCTATATATAACTGTTTTTCTTTTGTTCCTAGCCTTACTTGCAGGCTTTGTTATTTGTTTTTATCCTAAGATGCATGGAGACAAAATGTGGAAAGAAAATAATGCGAAAGGATCCTGTTTTCAGGTTGGGATAAAATTTAATTTCGAGCTTAATATCATATTTTAATGTTCCTCAGTAGTGGGCCGCACTACTGACCTGTGAATGTGGATTGATATTTGCAACGTAAGCAGGATGCCGGTTTTCATGATGTCCATGGATTCCTGGCTGATTGCCTGGTAGTAGGACTCTCAGTCAGAGATCTGCCACTAACCAGCAGAGGGAGGTTTTCTGTTCCTCAGAAATTTGATGAGTACTCAGATATGCCACTTTTTCATCTGAGATGATCACACGTCCTTGAAAAGAGGAGATGGGATGGATGTGGTTGAGCAACCTACTGTAGGTCAGAGCATTCCGTAAGATGGACATTGTACAGGGGCACCTGGGTGGCTCAGTGGGTTAAGCCTCTGCCTTCAGCTCAGGTCATGATCTCAGGGTCCTGGGATCGAGTCCCGCACTGGGCTCCTTGCTGAGTGGGGAGCCTGCTTCCTCCTCTCCCTCTGCTCTTTCCCCTGCTTGTGCTCTCTTTCCTCTCATTCTCTGTCAAATAAATTCTTAAAAAAAAAAAAAAAAAGATGGACATTGTAAAGGGGCTCTAGGAAAGGTGAACAGAGAAAGATGCTGAGGGCAAATATCCGTGTGACTCAGATGGGCTCAGAGTCAACAGAAACAATGTAGGTGACCTGATTTTTAAAGAAGGAGCAGTCATTGCCAGCACATTGGCAAGGGTCAAAGATTCCAACTGGAAGAATGACAGCAATGAGAAGGGGATTCTGGCAACTGGAATGGGAATTCTTGGTTAAAGCAGAAGCAGTATTCACAGGGCCATGACCATTACCAGCGTATTGAGAGAAAGGATGGCAAAACCACAGAGAAGCTGATTTGAGCGATGTCCTGACTAATGAGAAAACCCTATGTCCTACGTTTCATTTCTCTACAGAATTTCCCCCCAAAGTAGAGGTGCTCGACCTAAACCTGAAGAACCTGTCGATGAGGATGAAGATGTTAAAGCAGAAAGGCAAAGAGCAGCAACTGCCCTGACCACTTTGCAGGCAGGCGAGGTAGAAAAGCAAGTGACGGGGCACCTGGGGGGCTCAGCTGGTTGGGTGTTTGACATCGCGGCAGGTTATGGTCCCAGGGTCCTGGGATTGAACCCCATACGGGGTTTCCTACTAGCAGGGAATCTGCTTCTCCCTCTCCCTCCGCTCCTCCTCCCCCCTGCTTGTTCTCTCTCTCTCTCTCTCTCTCATAAATGAATAGAAAATTCTTTTTTAAAATATTTTATTTATTTATTTGACAGACAGAGATCACTAGTAGGCAGAGAGGCAGGCAGAGAGAGATGGGGAAGCAGGTTCCCCGTGGAGCAGAGAGCCCGATGTGGGGCTCGATCCCAGGACCCTGGGATCATGACCTGCGCCAAAGGCAGAGGCTTTAACCCACTGAGCCACCCAGACACCCCATAAATAAAAAAATTCTTTAAAAAAAAGAGAGAAAAGCAAGTGACAGAGTGGATGTTAATGGACCCACATTCAAGAACTATCAAGAAGAGAGGTCAATATGCTGGTTTCCATTTAGAACGTTGGGAGCTTGGTATATTATCATTGTTCTTAAATATGTAGGTCCTTCTTAAGAGTATCCCAGAAGCTCAAAGGAGCACACAGAACATAATGGTTTTATTGTTCTTTAGAGGAAAATATGCTTTGATAAGTAGAGCTGTAATTTCAAAACCAAAAAATTTCGTGAGTTGGAGAATTTGTGTGAGATTTGTTATAAAATACTGAATAGGGATTAGGATTTGAAGAGTTATTCTTTTGTCTGACTTAGATGTTGTGATATGTCCATGAGCCTAGACTCTTCTGGGAAGGCAATGAGCCAGTTTCTCTGAAGCTATACTATTATTTCATTTTTAAAACATATTTTATTTATTTATTTATTTGCAAGAGAAAGAGTGAATAAGCAGGAGCAGGAGGTAGGGACAGAGGCAGAGAGTGGAAACAGACTCCCCACTGAACAGGGAGCCCGATGCGGGGCTCCATCCCAGGACCCTGCGATCATGACCTGAGCCAAAGGCAGACACGTAACCGACCGAGCCACCCGGGCTCCCCTATATTGTTTTATTTTAGAAGATAGATTTAAGAGATTTAGAGATATTGTTGGCATCAATGAATGCAGGTTACATTTGAAACAAGCAATATAGATTACTGTCAGTTTAACATATACTCCGTTTGGGGGCACCTGGGTGGCTCAGTCCTTTAAGCTTCTGACTCTTGATTTTTGGCTCAGGTCATGATCTTAGGGTCGTGGGATCAAGTCCTGTGTTGGGCTCCATGCTCAGCGGGGAGTCTGCTCCAGATTCTCTCTCCCCCTCTCCCTCTGCCCCTCCAGGCTGTGCTTTCTTTCTGTCTCAAAATCAATGCATATATCTTTTTTTAAACATTTAAAAAATGAAAATAAAATATACTTCGTTTTATGACGTAGAGTAAGAAAATTTACAATAATGAGAACATAGGAATGTAAAGTCTCTGAAGGTTAATAAGAAAAATCACACTGTCCTCTATTCCAGAAACCTGTCATAATTGCCAGCTGTCTGCACAAAGAGTACGCAGGTCAGAAGAAAAGTTGCTTCTCAAAGAGGAGGAAGAAAATAGCAGCAAGAAATATCTCCTTCTGTGTTAAAAAAGGTTCGGAAGAATCACCTAACCTGATTCACCATTATTTCAGAAATGCCCACTGAACATCTCTGGTATAGGTACCATTGTACTTGCTAGAGCATGCATGCAAGCATTCATTCGTTCAACATATATTTCTTGAGCATGCTAGGGACCTTTGGGCTCTGGAATAGAATCATGAAGGAAATAAGGAAGTCCCTGTTTTCATAGATTTTACATCCCGAGAGGGCTGAAAACCAAAAACAGCTTATCAAGAGAAGTGTCGGTCATCACAGAAGCAAGTTCTGTATGGAGCATTCAACTGTGTGAAATGATATGAGTGACTTGGGGTTGCATTCACTTAGGGTTCAGGCAGAGAGAAGAGTGAGGGCAGGAACTCAGAGCTGGAGCTGCCTTTGGAATGATCAAGGCATGAAGAGGCAGTGGACACAGGTACAGATGCAAGGGAGGAAGTCTAAGAGGGGAGCAGGGCCAGATTGGGTCCCACTTTGTGAAATACGGTGAAGGCTTTAGATTTTTATAGCAAATCAGTGGAATGCCACTGGAGGGTTTTTAACTAGCTTTTTGTTACCCCTTAAGTTTTGAAAAAAATTAACACGTTGGCTATTGTTTGTAAATCTGGGTGGCAGACAAGAGGCTAAATTTATATTAGTTCAGATGAAAGATGGTGGTGGCTTAGACACAGGTGGGGGAATTAGGGATGGAGAAAATGTCCCTGACTTCCCAAGTTTAGGAATCACTTAAACATGTACTCAGCACATCAGCCATCTACTACCGAAAATAATCTGGCTCATTTTTCACTGCAAATGTAATCTGGGGAAAAAAAGACTTATTGACATCAAATCCATAAGCTTTTCACTAATATTTCTTATAATTATAGGAGTTAGAGAACATGGTTTGGTAACCTGAATTACATATATGTTAAAAATCTCAAAACAGTACTGGGGGGTATACATATCTCAAAAGGTTTGAATAAACAGGTTTATGATAATTCACTTTCGAGACTGATAATCAGTGATTCTCTTTCAGGTGAAATTTTGGGATTGTTAGGACCTAACGGTGCTGGTAAAAGCTCATCTATTAGAATGATTTCTGGGATCACGAAGCCAACAGCTGGAGAGGTAGTAAGAAATGACACAATGATTTTCATTCCCAAAATAGACATTTCATGATAAATGTAGGTTATATCTTTATAAGACTCTACTTTTAATAATTTAAATAGTTTTCCATAATAAATGTGTGAATTTCTATAATGTGTATTGTTTTAGCTTTTTAATTTTTATGTAGTTATTTATCTTTCTAATTAAACATTTTCTTATTGAAGTATAATTAGCATACAGTGTTATATTACTTTTAGGTGTACAATATAATGATTTCAATATTTCTATCACTTACAACAATGTAGATTATAAAGGGTATAGTGCTAAGTGAAATAAGTCAGAGTAAGACAAATACCATAAGATTTCACGGATATATTTCTTTGATGCTCAAAAAATTTAGGTATTTATTAGCTACATGTCAGTTTCTTGAGTGTGAGATTGGAGAAAAGGCTACATGTGTTTCTAAAACCAGTTTACTTTCTTAGGTAGAACTGAAAGGTTGTGGTTTGGTTTGGGATCATCAGGGAGACAACACAGTCAGCTTACCGGGATACTGTCCTCAGGAGAATGTGCTCTGGCCCAGCCTGACAATGAGGGAACATCTGGAAATCTTTGCCGCCATCAAAGGGCTGAGGAAAGGGGACGCCACAATTGCCATTTCACGGTAAAGAGAAGTCACGGGATTCTTTTGTGTCCAGAGCCAGGAAAGCTTGTTGCACTGATGGTGAATTCACTGATGAAGAATGGAGAGTAGAAATGATGTCTGCACCTTGTCCGAGAGTATCAGCAGTAGAGCAAGGATGGAGGGACAGGAGCTGTTTCCAACATCCTCGATTGAGGGATCTTAAAAAAAAAAAAATCGCATAAAATAATTGACAGTGTTCAATGAATGAATAACCACAAATAATCATCCACTTCAGTTCCAAATTCAAAATTCTAGCTGTTCTTTAGAACTTTTTATGAGATGAAAAATCTTTCCTGTTCCAAAACAAACTCTTTCTCTCTAGGATCATGAGTTTCCAAGTAGTAGTGCCTAGCTTCCTTCCAATGCTGTTGTAATCTTCTGCAGAATTACAGTTTCCAAAGATCCTCTTTTGAATGGATATTCTCCTGTTTTCCAATAGATTGGTGGATACTTTCAAACTGCATGGACAGCTAGATGTTCAGACGCAGAAATTAACGGCAGGAGCCGCCAGAAAGGTATGTGGGATGCGGGATGGTATTCTGAAGGCTGATGTGGTGGCAGCAAAAAAGGTGCTTCTCTGCTTTTCAGTTGTGTTTTGTGCTGAGCGTCCTGGGAAATTCGCCTGTCCTGCTCCTGGATGAACCCTCGACAGGCATGGACCCAGCAGGGCAGCAGCAAATGTGGTAAGAATAACACATGAGTGTAAACCTCATGTTGAAGTTGTGTTTTTAAACCAAGCTTAGATGGGGCACCCAGCCAGCTTAATTGGTAGAGCAAACAACTCTTGATCTAAAGGTTGTGAGTTCAAGCCCCATGATGGGTGTTTAGCTTACTTTAAAAATTTTTTTCTAGACTAAATAAAACCCTGATCTTGGAAAAATCTAAATCCACTGATTTCTAATTTAGTGGAGATAATCCATATCATTAGGAAAATAAATATGTCATAAATAGATTCTCTTTTGTATCATATTTATGTGGTATTAATGTTAAAAAAAAAACAACAACAACCCTTTAAGTATTTTGTTGGAATTTTAGGTCTTGTAATTTGGAGTTAATTTTTTTTTAATTATTGAGGTATATGTAACTGTTTCTTTTTTTAGAGGCTATTAACTTACATATTTTCTCCATTTCCTTTTCTCCCCCCCTTTACCAAATCTGTTAAATTTGCTTATCGTTTTTCTTAGTTTTTAAATTATTTTTACTTTCCTTTCTAGGATGTACCATTTGGATTAATAAAATCATCCAATCTAATTTCATATTTGTGACTGTCCAATAGTTTCCCTATCTCTTTAAAGAATTTCATTGTGGAAATTTTATACAAATGTAAAGAGAATCATTTATGAACCCAATATTCCCATGACTTATTTCAACAGTTACCCATATAAGGCCTATCTTTTTTCATTATACTTCTACCCACTTCCTTTTCTCCACTCCTATCAGTTTGAAGCAAATATTAGGCAGCCTTTCCTTTATTTATAAATATATCAATTAATTTATTCAAAAGATATAAAGATCTTTTTAAAAAACTTAACCAGAATACCACTAGCCTACCTAAAAATATTAAACACTTCTCTTTATCATTTATGCTATCAAAAAACCTAATCAGTATTCAAATTTCTGGTTTTTTAATTAGAAATATGATTCATTTTATCCATACAGTTTCTCCTCCATTTCTTTTTTGTCTACCCTCTTTTTTAACAGTGATATTTTTGGGCTCTTTTCAGGCAGGTGATCCAGGCAGCCATTAAAAACACAGAGAAAGGAGCGCTCCTGACCACCCATTACCTGGCCGAAGCTGAGGCCATATGTGACCGCATCGCTATCATGGTGTCTGGAAGGTTGAGGTGGGTGTCTTTCTGGAGGCTGTGCTTGACCCTCAAAATGAAAGTCCCGTGGAAAAGGAAAGATCGCCATGAACATCTGGAGTTCTTCCCATCAGTTTCTCAGAGATGCCCTTTCCCCTACATTTGAAATTGAAGACGGTAAAAAATGTAAGGGGCAGTATTTTTTCTGACATGTTTTCCTTCTTGCCCATAGGTGCATCGGCTCCATCCAACACCTAAAAGACAAACTCGGCAAGGATTACATTCTAGAACTGAGAGTGAAGGAAGCTGCCCAAGTCACCTGTGTTCATACCGAGATTCTGAAGCTTTTCCCACAGGTTGCACCACAGGAAAGGTGAAGGATTATGGAGAAATTTGTTGGCATTACCCACTTTACCCACTCAGTGGTTTCTTTCCTGCTCTGTGAGAACTTCAGGGTGATTTGACTTCATAATAAAAGTTAGGGACCTCAAAAACTGATTTACTGACTCCTCCAGATTGTAAGAGATTTGGGACCCACCCAGGAAGCTGTGTCCTCCTGCCCCAAGGAAAGCTTGGGGACACCTTACATGGGCCCCCTCAGCAATCCAAGGCTGGTCTCCAGCTCAGAGGAGGATGTAGAAAAACTGGGGGAAAGGAACTTCTCATGCCCAGAACCCTTCATGGGACAAGATTTGGACCCATGGCGCCCTCCACAGACCTCCCTGAAAATATTTAAAAGATGTAAATATTTACAATCTAAAAGATGTAACTATTTAAGGTGAATTCCCCTCTTGGAAACAAACAGCCATCGAGATACTCAAATAATCTCCCTCTAATTAGTTTTCATGCCTCAAAATGGAGAATAGAAATGTGTGTGTACACCTATATGTGTGTGTGTTTTTGTATGTCTGTGTGTTGGGGGAGTGGGGGGCAAGGAGGTGGAACTAGAACAGAATTTGGAATTCCTTGGAGGCATAAGCACACCAAAGAAGCAAGTGGCATTTCCATTTTAGCACAGCGTAAATATAATGCAATTATCAGAGACTATGCCAGGGAAAGCAACTCAGTCCTGCTACCGCACTCTTGGTGTCACGAAGTAAGTGGGAAGACCATGAGTGGCAAGCCTGAAAGAGCAGGTGCTGGGCTGAAGAGGGCCAAGCCTGGAGGTCTGGGCAGCTCTAGGGCCTCCTGGGGGCATCACACTACTAGGGAATGAGCTGAGAATGGGCATGAGGTCATCCACCTGAAAGTGGCACATGGAAGCAAGAGGCCACAGACCCCCTCTGGCTCCTCCTTTCCTCACAGGTTGGGGAAGTTTATAGTTAAAGACTTTTGAACCCTTCCCATCAGGTCCTTCTCTCTTAACCCCACATCTCCCTTTCCTTAGCTTTCTGGTCACAAGGATGAAATATTAAGTGAATGAATTAATTGCAAACTAATTTAAGCTAAGCAAAGGGGATAGTCCAGATGGTCTGCGTTCAATCACAAAAACAAAAGGTTTGCATACAATGAGCATAAATGCAATTATGCTGGTTTATTTCTAGAAGAATTATCTCTAACAGCCAGCCACCAAAGACATTTTAAGAATTTTGCATTGGTTGTTTTACTCACTTTTTATGTAAGCTGTATATTTATTTGTATTACTTTTCTTTTCATCAAAGGAAATTGATGTTAATATCAGCATTTATTTTGATGGCCATTTTCTCCCCCTTGAAACTCAAGGTCAGATATGACATTTTCATATCCCCAGGTACTTCTCCTTCTTGATCTATAAACTACCTCTGGCGGATGTCTACCCTCTATCTCAGACCTTCCGCAAATTAGAGGCAGGTAAGAGTTGCCATTGTGGGGTGCCTGGGTGGCTCAGTGGGTTAAGCCTCTGCCTTCAGCTCGGGTCATGATCTCAGGGTGCTGGGATCGAGCCCTGCATCGGGCTTTCTGCTCAGCGAGGAGTCTGCTTCCCCCCTCTCTCTCTGCCTCCCTCTCTGCCTACTTGTAATCTCCATCTGTCAAATAAATAAATAAAATCTTTAAAAAAAAAAGAGTTACCATTATAAAAGAAAACTTTTGAAGAATCAGTTCAGCGTCAGGTAATAATTTCATGGTAGGTAATTGCGTAATCCATTTTAAAAATGTGCAAATGCTTAATGGTTTTAAGAATTCTAATGGTGGGATTTAACTCCAACTGTGCTTAATCCAGTTCTCTGGAAAGAGGTTAATCTCTGTGGCAGGGACGGAAGGTACAGAAAACACACAACTAAGCTTGGCTGGGTTTACTGTGAATTCATAACTTTAACCTGACAAAGCCCCTTAGTGGGCGCTGCATTGCCTGTGTGTGCACAACCCATTCACACCAAGTGTCCTAAATTATTCCTTGCACACCCATCTCCTTCTTGCTTTTCTCCCTCGGTTGATGCCCTTGCTTTATATTTCACTAATAAAATAAAAGCCACAGAAAACCTTCCACCCATGCATTCACTTCTCTGCGTCTGGGCTGCGCGTTCTGCCTTCCCACTAAGTCCGTCCCCTCCATCGTGCATGACTCATCTTGCCATTTGAAATTGTTGTGGTTCTCTCTTCACCATCATTTTTCTGCTTCCGTCGGGGGAAGTCCCAGCAGCAGACTGTCCTGGAGTAATTTCTTATGCAGCCTAGTGGTGAAGAGAGACAAGTTCAGCATCAGCCTCTCTACCAGCTGAGAGGCACTGGGTAAAGCTACTGAAACCCTGCCCATCTAGGTGATCTGTCTCTGAGAGGGAGGTGATATCAGTGCCCACTTGGGCAGGGTCATTAAGAAAATTAAATGAAGTCATTTACAGAGTGTTTAGACTCGTGCCAGGTTCATTGTGTTTGAGAGAATATGAATTGCCAGTTTACTCCCTCCAGTCCAGACACCCTGACTTCTAGCTCTTCCTAAAGGCTACCAGACATGCGTACTCCTGCCTTAGGACTTTGCACTTGCTGATCCTTCTTCTTGAAATTCTACTACTTCCAAATACCCAGCTTGTTCTCTCACTTCCTTCAAGTTTCTGCTCAATTCTTACCTTCTAACTATGGCCAACCCCAGCCATCCTGTTAAAAACGAGTGCCTGGCACTTCCTGTTTCCTCTGCTTGATTTATTTTTCCTGTGTAGTAGCAATCATCGTTTCCTTTATTTTATATTTAAGTCCTTATTTATTTAATGCCCATATTCCTGCCACTAGAATGCAGGGGTTTATACACAAAGGCAGGGTTTTGTTTTCACTGCTACTCGGTCCCTGGTACCAAGTGTGGACACACACAGAAGATCTCAGTGTATGAGTGGAGCACTGTGAATATGTGAATACGTACATCTGGCTTCCTGGCAGGGATGCCCAGCTTCAAGCTGGGTATAGCAGATAAACTGGCTGAAGCCAGTTACACAGAAGCATTGGGTCCTTTCACAGGGAAAGGAATGGGATTGAAATCTTCCTTGTGTGTAAGAATGTGTCAATCAATTATGTAATTCCTCAAGGAACTTGTTTCCCAGGACACATATACTATGTAATAAAATGTATCAAAATGTAATATGAGAAAATTCTCACATCAGAGTTAATTTAATTTGTATTTATATTAACTCTATGACTTTTGACATCTCCCTTCTTTCTCCAAGTGTTTGTTTATTCAGCTTTATATTCTATTTATACTAATTGTGTGTATTTTTATTTTGTATAACTTTGAAAAAATTCTTGGTAATAAGCATCTTGTAAGCATCTACTAGTAATCTTTTTTTCTCCCCCAGTGAAACATAACTTTAACCTGGAAGAGTACAGCCTCTCTCAGTGCACACTGGAAAAGGTGGGTCAGCTTTTATGGTTTGTATCATTCCTATAAATTTCACATGAAAGTAATTATGCATATATTCTATTTATTTTACAACAATATCCAACTTGTTCATTCCTTTTCTTTCTGCGTTGTCTCCATTTAGGTATTCTTAGAGCTTTCTAAGGAGCAGGAGCTGGGAAATTTTGAAGAAGAAATTGATACAACCATGAGATTGGAACTCCTCTCTCCTTCAGATGACTTTTAAAAGCTCAAGCCTGTTAATACTTTGTGTCATATAAGCTTATGTTCTATGTAATAATTGGCAGTATGTATAATTTTAAAAATCACTAACATCAATATCAGGGTATATTTTGTACATTTGGTTAACAAATGAATACGTGTCAGAATTATTCCTCCCCTTAAATTTAGGAATGATAGAAAATCTGTGATAAAGGCAATATAAAGTATTAATAAATTTACCTGAAGACCAGGTAGCAGGTATTGTGGAAATAAAACCACAAGCTTGGGATTTTTTTTGAAGTTATAACTTCAAACATGGCGTATCACTTCGAAAAATGACACTTACTGAGAAATTCCCTAGCAGAGCCATACGAGGGATCTGTTCAACAGCCAGAAGCTATAGGATTGCAGCATGCATTTGGGAAGCTCGGGTTTATGAGTTTGTTTTGAAACACAAGTAAAACCTAGAAGTCTTCCTCTGAAGTCTTTTCAGAAACTGTTTTGAAATTCAGAGCGAGGAGTGCATTGGACTCACCCATGAACGAGCACGTGCATTAGATAAGCATTCAGACATACCTTGTGGAAATGAGGGACGTCACAGCAACATTCGTTCAGTTTTCTAAGATTTTGAATGCTACTTCATGATTGGGGGGAGGGGAGTGCTGATTTCCCTCACGAACTCATCAGTAGTTTTCTGTGTACAGTTGACCTTTGCACAACACAGGGGTTAAGGGTGCTGAACCCTCTGTGCAGTCAGGAATCCGAGTATAACTTTCAAATCCCCCCCAAACTTAACCACTAATAACCTACTGTTGTCCAGAAGCCTTCCCAAAAACATAAATCATCAATTAGCACAGTTTGCATGTTATATGCCTTATATGCCATATTCTTAAAATAAGTCTGCCAGAGAAAAGATAATGTTATTAAGAAAATCATAAGGAAAAAATACATTTATTGTACTGTACAGTAAAAAACCATATATAAGTGAACCTGTACAGTTAAAATCCATGTGGTTCAAGGGTTAACTGTATTTACTGCCATTTTTAAATCACTTCTTTCTTACATATGTACATAATGTGTTTTTATATCTATCACACACAGGCATAAATCATTTGTATTACTAAATTTTAAAAAAGTGTGTTTTACATGTAATTTTATTTTTCTCCTTAAATTATAGCTATTTCATTTTAAATATCATGAGAAAATTTTTTGAAGACCAAGCAGTATTTTTGATGCTCTTTTTTTTTTTTTTTTTGGTGATATGTTATATAACTTAAAACACATTGTTATGCTTATTGAGGGATTTTTGTATAATGGAGAAAAACACAGAAATTGAATAAAATTGAATAAAAGATCACCACACTTCCTCCATACCAAAAAAAAAAAGAAAAAAAAATCAGTTTCTTTTTCCTTTAGTATACTCTTTTACATAGGTGAAATCATTACAGTATATATAATTTCTTAACTATATATGCATATTTGCTAATGTAACATTGAAATTGTTTTAATTTACTTTCACACTTATGGTGAAGTTCCAGGGTTATATGTTTGTATTTTATTTTGTGTTAATTATTTGTGTTTTTTGTTCATTTATTTTTGTGTTTTAATCTTTTTCTTACCCATTTCTCACATAATTAAATATTTTACCTGCATATATTACATATCATAATTATATCTAGAACATTATGATAAATAATCAATAGCTTACTATTTATTCAGGATACTTTAGTGCCCTGTAAAAGCAAATTCATATCATAATAAGAGTTGGGTTTAGATTATTTCTAAAATTCAAGCAATAAATTCTCCTGTCTTGCTCAAATGTATGAAATCACAACATATATAACCATTTCACATAGAAAGATGATGAAATCTTTGCCTATATTCATTAAGGCAAAGTTACTAATTTTCTTAACTGTTGTAGATTACGTTTACAAAGTACTGAATAACCAACATCAGATGTATAAATATTTTAGAAGATTAAGTTGGACACAATTTGTTAAATCTATCATAAAATGGGCACCTTTGAAAACTTGGGTTTCTATTAGGAATATATTCAAGAGAAGATAAATGAGTATGAAAAGGGAAGGAGATGAGAATAAAACTAAAGAAAGGATTTTTTCAAAAGAAAAAATAGTTGTATTATCTCGAACTCTGTTGTAGACAGGTCCTGTTCTGGTTTTGTTCATTATTTTCCTACTATACCCCTTCCAAAAGCTACAATAGATGCAAAGGTAGAAGAGAGAGGTCAGAGGATCTCTTCCCTCCTGTCCTCGTTTTAGTTCCAGATCTCAGACAGTAGATGTAGCCCTCCAGGCGTATAACTTCTGCCCTTCTCCAGTTACACACATCTGCTTCTGGCCCCTCTAACACTATTGACCCCAAGAATGTCCTACTCTTACCTCATCCTTCTCACCCAGGCTCCAGCAAATCATCAGAATTATCATTTAAGTTGTTTGTTCCTAGTTTACGGCTCTACTGGTTTCTGCTCCAAGTAAGCTGGTCTTGGCTATAATTCTTTTTATTCATTTGCATAAAATGCATAAAATGATCTCTGCTCCTAGGTCCTTCTAATATTTGGTTTTGGACTCCAGTTCTTAACGCAGAGCTCCTAAGACACTAAGGGTCTCTTGGGTGATAGAAGTAACTTTTGTTCTAATGAGGTGATGCTGGTGGGCTCCAGGATCAGCACTGGCCACCAGAAAAACCAAGCCATGATTAAAAGGTTGGTACTTTCACCCCATCCTCATTCTCCAGAGGTGGGAGAAGCATTGTAAATTGAGCTGAGAGTCACTCATGCCTATCTGATGAATCCTCCAAAAAATTCCAAAAGTACTGGGTTCAGAGAGTGACCAAGCTGGCGAACACATCAATGTGCTAGGAAGGTGGCGGGTGCATCCCAGTTCCAGGGTGACTGGGGTTCTATGCTTGGAACCCTTCCAGACCTTATCCTATGTATCTCTTCATTTAGCTGTTCATCTGAATCCTTTATCATATTGTTCATTATATTAGAAACCAGTCAACATAAGTAAGGGTTCCCTTGAGGTCTGTAAGTTGTTCTACCAAATTGTCAAACCCAAAGATGAGGTCATGGGAGCCCCACTTATAGCTGGAAGGTTAGAAGTAGAGGAGATGATATGGGGTTTCATGATTGGCACCTGAAGCAGAGTCAGTCTTGTGAAACAGGGCGAGTAACTGGTGGGATCTGATGCTAACTCCAGACAGATAGTGTCAGAACTAAACAAATTGTAGGACAGCCAGCTGGTTTTGGAGAATTGTTTAGTATGGGGGGAAAAAAAACACCACATTTGGTGGTCAGAAGTATGAGAACAAAGGAAAACACAAAGGGAAAAAAAAAATTGTTTCCTTGACATTTGGTGTCAGTGAAGTGGAATTTGCTAGAACAACAGTTCTGGCTCATGGAAACACATGGTTTGGGAACAGGAAGAATGGAGGGCTGGGATGCAGGGATAAGGAGCTCTTGGTCACTGGATGGCTACCTAGTCCCTCATAGTATAAAAATGCAGCTGCTTTTTGATCAGTTACTCAGAATAGAAGTTACCAGTGGAATTAGAGATGAGAGTAGCCCCAGCTCCTGAGGAGCTGGCTCTTTGGTTATGTAAGGAAATGCAAAATAATAAGCATGCTAAATGTATAATCTCTCGGTCATTGTTATCCAGAATGGCTAAAATAAGAGAAAATTCTGAGTTGGACCTTGATGCGGGAACAAGTTCAAACTTGGGTCAGTCTGAGCTTTGGCCACCAGCCTCAAAGCTGCTCAGAAAGGGAAAAATTAAGCCAGGAAGATACCTCTAATCACCCTTTGATAACCAAAGAAATAGTCAGTGAGGTGGATGGAGGACAAAACCAAAACAAACCAAGAAACAAACTACTAAAACCAGGGGGTAGAGCATGAAGGAGATGTCTCATTTTGTGGACCGAATTATCAGCTTCCTGAGGAATCTCTACCAAAATGGACTAGGAGAGTAACTAATCTGGGGTCTATGTCTTTGGTTTTGAATGTTTCAGAGTGGAAGAGCCTTTCTGGGTTACAGCTGGATCCACATCCCACCAAAGAACGATCACAAGTGGTTATATGTGATCCAGACACACAGAACATTATTCCTGAGGGATTCCTGCTGAGCTGGATAAAGCCACCTTAAGGGTGTGCTCACCTGAGAAGGAGGACTGCCCATGTCCTCCTATAACTGCCAAGTGGAGCACTTCAGATGAAGGAGCTGATAGGCTTTGCAGGCAAGTCCCAGGGGATTGGCTGTATAGGAGCTAAGATATTCCCCCACTGAATATGCCCATTACCAGGCTGTGGTAAATGCCGTGATTAAGGGGGCCCCTGTTACATGGGTAACTTGTGTGACATCACTCTTGCAAGACTGAACAGTCTGGGAAGCTTTATCAGAGTTGCTGTCTTAGTTTCCCCATTTGGATCTCACTGATACTGAGGTCACCAAAGTAATTAAAAAGAAAATGGCGGCCACCTGGGTGGCTCAGTGGGTTAAGCCTCTGCCTTCAGCTCAGGTCATGATCCCAGGGTCCGGGGATCGAGCCCTGCATCGGGCTCTCTGCTCGGTGGGGAGCCTGCTTCCCTTCCTCTCTCTGCCTGCCTCTCTGCCTACTTCTGATCTCTATCTGTCAAATAAATAAATAAAATCTTAAAAAAAAAAAAAAAGGAAAGAAAATGGTGAGACAGAAAGGCGTCAAGGGACTCCACACAGCAGAGAGGACATCTTTAGATGGTTATTGAAAAAGGGATGAATGTGGTAGACACGGATGGTGTTGAAACAAAGGTACTGATGCAACATTATGGAAGTGTGTATGGACCAGTGAGACTTCCCGTGGGTCCCCCAACACCAGAAGGCCCCAAGCAGGTTCTTTCCACTTACCCCACTTTGGAGGAATTTAAAAAGTCAGAGGACAAAGGTTATGTGAGAAATGCCACCCAGAATTGCCTGAGGTATAGGTTAAGCAGATTAATCAAAGCAAATGTTGAAGGAGAGGCCAGGATCTTCTGGCACAGCCTGATAGGGACTCAAGGCTATAGGCACATACGTGGATAAATTGTCCAGGGAGAGGAAGGAGAGGAGGAGAAACTTTTGGGGGGATTCCTTAACACAGGAGTCAATGTACTGTGTTTTGAAACCTGTTGGTGATATCTTAATGGTGGCTTAATTTAGATCATGGAAGAGATGAAGAACAAAATGTTGATGGGATTAGGGTGAAGTTTAGATGAAAACTGGGATTTTTGAGCAAACTTTATGTG